TGCTCGACATCTCGTATGCCGTCTTTTTGCAAAAAAAAAAAAAAAAAAAACAGGGGTCTGCAGGGGAGCAGGGCCTCGAGGGAGTGGGTGGTCCTCCCATCCACGGCTCCCCCCAGCTATTCTCACACGGAGTTGTTTTATTGCATGGAGGACGGGAGAGCCCTGGGCCTAGACGTTCCTGCTCCCCATGCTGGGGAGGAAAGTCCAAGTGCCATGCCTGGCACAGAGTCCTGCAGGCTGCCCCCCATCACGTGCCTGCTCCGTCCCCATCGCCCTCCCACATGTCCTCGGCGTCCGGCAAGGCTGCCCCAAGGAGTCACCACACCGAGTGGTTAACACAACACACACTCAGGAGCTGCATCTGGAGGCCGGAAGTCTGGCACGGGTCTCCTAGGCCGGATCAAGGTGTTGCCGCCGCCTCTTTCCGGAGGCGCCAGGGGAGACTCCTTGAGGCCCTACGGTTCCTCGGCTCACAGCCTCACCTCACTCTGCGGCTGTAGGATCCTCCTACCTCTCTCTCATGAGGACTCGGGAAATGACACGGGGCCCACCTGGATAACCCAAGACTCAGCTCCCACGTCAGGGTCCTGAACTGGAACCGCACCGCCAGGTCCCCTTTGTCGTGTGAGGAGGACACAAGTCATGGGACTAGGGACTAGGGAGTAGCTGTCTTGGGGACATTGCTCAGCCGACCATACACAGGCTTACAGCGCCCCAACCCCGGAGCTGCTTGGGGGCCTCTTTCCAGGTTCCCCCACCGCCCTCCTTTGAGAGGCCTGGATACCCCGAGACCCTGAGGGCAGAGCCGACTGTAGCCCGCTCAGACCTCACCTGGACAACTCCAGGCGAGAGAAGCAAGGTGGGACTTCACCTTCCTCCCTGAGACCCCAGAGCCTTTGGGAGTCCGGTTCCCAGCCCTCCCGACCCAAGGCCCTCCTTCCTGTGCTGAGCAGGGACCAAGGGGGCAGCTTGCTCCCACCACAGGTGTCTCCCCCAGGTCTTGGAAGGTCCGGCTGCTGTCAGAGGGGAGGTGGCCCGGCTGGGGCTGGGCCGTGCATGGCCAGGACTTGGGCACATGTCATGGGGCAGACTCGTGGTCAAGCGTGAGGCCAGCCCCTGCAGGACAGAGACTGAAGAGTGGACTCAGGGCCAGCCTCCGAGGCGTCCTTACCCCGAGGGGCCACCACCATCAGTCGTACCTGAGGCTGAGACAAGGCTGCCCTGAGCCTTCAGTGTGGTGACTCCCAACTCCCTGCGGCCTCCCCCGGCACCCACAGGTACCCGCCCGTGCTGCCACTCCCCTGCCCAGCACCAGGCGGACCGCTCACAGCAGGTCACCAGCCTGGCCCAGGGCTGAATTTTTCACTTCCGTCCCATCTCAAAGTCGGGGAATCCGTCCCCAGCCCCCAAGCACTGGGCGCCCACATGGGCCCTCCTGGGAAAGGGGGCTGGGCTGGGGGGTGACTCCAGCTGACGTCCTCAGCTCCTGAGAGGATGGAGAGAGAGGTGCCTCGGAATAAACGGCTGGCAAGCTACTTCTGAGAAATCAGCCCCCGGAAACCTTGTGGACGCCAGTTCCACTCTGACACACACACACGTGGAGGCGTGAGGAGTCGGGCTAACTCCCTGGCACCTGAGCAACCTGGGACGAGGTGGGGCTGTGGTGGTCCACGGCCTCCCACCTGGCAGGGCTGGAGCCCGTTCACCCAGCCCACGGAGAGGCAGGGCGCTCTGTAAAAGCTACTCCAGAAGTCAAAATAGCATGAAATTTAATTTTCCGCCTATTTGACACGACAGGGTGGGCCCCCATCACTGCTAAGATAAAGGGCCCTCTGGCCAAGGGCGGGAGCCAGCTGGGCCCAAGGCAAACACTCCAGGGTCCCCTGGCAGGCGACAGCCAGGTGAGGCCCCTCCGAGCAACTCCCCCCGCGGCGCTCTGGTTGCCGGGCGCTAAAGCAGACGGTTCTGTTTGCCTAGTCTGCGATTACAATGCCGCCACCACCAAATATTTGCCAGCCCTGGCCGGCCGGCCACTGCAGCCCGGTATAAATGCTTGAACCCAGGTGGAGGCGGCCTGCCCAGCAGGAGCTTCCGGCCCCGGCCAGGTAAGAAGAGGGTGGGTGTGGGCCGGGCGGCCCGGTCTCCCCGAGGCCGCTGGGGGCTGCCACGCTGTGGGGGGTGTGGGGGTCCGGCCTCTTTTCCGCTGCTTGCAGGGCGTGGGTCCTTCTGCCTGGGGCAGTCTGGTCCACAGAGACAATGCACACCTCGGAGGCCACCACGGGCCACCCATCGAGGCTGCCCCAAGGCAAAGACAGGTCTGGGGGACACAGTACCTAAGCCTCTGCATCTGAGAGCGGCTAGCCTCAAAATCCAAGAACAGCCTCAGGACACCTGGGGCAGACCCAGCCCTGTGAGCCTCAGTAGAGCCACAGAGCGGCCAGCAGGGTGGGGAAGAGAACCCTGAAACCAGGGAGGGCAGGCACTGGGGGCTTCCCTTGACATCTGTCCTACAGCGCCCCCCCCCCCGGGACGGGGTGTGTGACCCACAGCCCAGCTCCCTGTTCACCAGATTCCTTTCCTCCCTTCCCACCTCCTGCCAGGGTCCCCAGGAGTCCTTGGCCAGAGAGGGGTCAGGGACACCTCTCCCCAGGGGCAGGGCGCCTTCTGGGATTCACAGTCAGCGCCGGTGGCTTCTGGCCAAGGGGAGGCCCCTCATCCCACAAGCGCCCCAGAACTCCGCTGGCCTAGCCTGAGACCCAGCCCCATCGCCTTCCTCATCCCTTCCTGGTCCTGGGACCCCCATCCCTGCCTTCCTCCCTCCTCTGACCCTTCCTGGGTTGTGTTGGGGACACTGACGGGGCCTCTGTTGTACTTTCTGTGCTGTGGAGGCCAAGTGACAGTCTCACTGTGCCTGCACTAGAATCAGCAGAGACTAGCACCCCAGGAGGGCCAGCCTGACCACCCCTCTCCGGCTCTGAGCCATTCCAGGAGGCCAGGCGCGTCTCCCTGGGCTCTGGTCACCCCGCCCAGCCCCGGCAGACACGAGCCGGTTTGTCAAAGAGCTGCTCAGGCTAGTTCTGTCACCATAGCAACAGCAACCTGGGCTGGGGTCTCCGCGAGGCACGGCCTTCACACGCTCGCACCCCTGCACCCAGACGGGGCAGGGCAGAATCCCTGGGACCTCTCTGCCCCTCGGCGCCCCGCATCACCACAGAGTCTCCCCGAGAGCCACTGGTTCATCTCCCCATGTCACACACACCCCTCCTCCACCCACGGATGCCTGGGGCAGCCCCCCAGGGCCATCCCACAGGGCCCAGGCCTCCTGAAGCTGCCCTCGTGGTCACCATGACCTTGTCCCTTGCAAGAGCTGCAGCCCCAAGGACCGCGGGTCGCCGACAGTGGGGACCAGAGGACACGTGTGGGTGGCCCCTGGGACAGGCCCGCCCAGCCCGCTCACCTGCCCCTCTCACGCCTGCCCCCAGCCGGCGCCTGCTGCCCCCGGAAGGCCCGCAGCCCCAGGACGGCGAGGGGATGGCGGCCGGCGTGGCCCAGCCCCTGTGCGACTTCCAGCTACCTTTCCACCCACCCTACCTGCTCTCCGAGCCGGAGTCCCCGGACACCTCGGAGGAGGACGAGGACGACCACGACGAGGCGGCGGCGCTGCAGCGCGAGGGCCTGGGCGGCTGCAGCCCGACCCCTCTGCGTGCAGGCGGGATCCCCGCGCCGGCCCCCGAGGGCGCGAGCAGCCCCGAGACGGCGCGGCGGCTCCTGCGTTTCTCGGAGCTCATCAGCGGCGACATCCAGCGGTACTTCGGCCGCAAGGACCCGGGGCCGGACCCCGACGCCCGCGACGTCCCCGCAGAGGGCCGCGCGGCCGGCAGCGCCACCAGGGCGCGCTCCTACGCCGACCTGCGGCGGGAGG